CTGTAACATTCTCCCTCTGATAGAGTCACAGGCTGCATGCAGCTTTATTTGGACACTTTAAAATCATGGAACGTTACAAGCATTCTGCTCCTGATTATTTTCATCAGTCAGGAAAGAGAAATTTATGATACGTTTGTGTGGTTAAGTGCGTTTAGTTGAAAGTGCTACAAGCACAGTAAAAAGTGCATGAAGTGCTCCTGGATGTGGTTTATGTTGGTCATGAAAACCATTTCTGTAGAATAGAAATGATCAGTGCTGTCATCGAGGAGTTTTTATCACGAGATAAGTTATGCTTTATTTACATTTTTAAAATCACCAGTATCTGTTTCAAGTAATATTTGGCCATTTCACATTGATCATTTAGAGAATAAATATATAGTTTTAGTAAAGCAGTGAAAAGGAGCTAACAGAGGCAAAAACAGCAGAGCTTACTGATGGAAAATCAAAAAAAATCAAAAATCCTCAGTAACTCACGAGAGAAATGACAAGTACAGTGAGGAGATGTAGAAATAAAAGTGTCATCTATGGATGGTGGTGTAGCAGCATGAGCTGTTCAAGATTGTTTATTTGACACGTGCATAGTTATACAAGTACAACACACAGTGAAATGTGAAGTGTGTGTGTGTTATTTATTTTTTCTCTCCTAATCTGCCATTGTTAATGATTTGAAAGTCCATGCCACACTTGCTCCCTTACAGCCTGTTTAGGTTTGATGCTCTTTGGCTTGTGAAGACTACACTGCCCCCTAGCAGAGCAATGCTGAGTTAATGTTTCTAACTGCAGCGAAGAACTTGTCAGCTGATTGGATTACATTTTACTTTATTGCAATAACCAGGTCATTGTGCCTTCACTGGTTTATTTTCTGTGATGCTGCATATTACCTGCTGTTGGGACATCAGTGTGATCGAGGTCCACGCTGTGTTTTAAATATACAGTAGCTTTCAGCTGGCAGTGCTGGATCTCAGTAAAAATAAAAAGATTTCATTCCCTTTTATTACAAAGTACAATCTTCATCACACTGAGTCAGATTATGAGTAATCGTGACTGTTCCGTCTTCAACTACTGTTCTGATAAATGTTGCAAAAACTCCTGCCAACTCAAGAGCCTGATGACGCTATGTTGGAGGGTCTGCAGACGTGTTGCATTGCCACTTCCTTCCTCCTTTGTAAGAATGATCAGTTTCAGATTTTTTTGTGAATGTTTATCTGATAAGAAAACCCTTGTGGCGTGCTTTGAGAATTCGGGGGTGGTGGGTGCAGACACAGTGATGTAGTAATGCGTTGTGCTCAAAGACTGGGGGGATTTTTTCAAAATTGTTAATGTGGTTTTGATTCTTTTCTTAAGGAACCTGTTGGCTTCAATGCCCTGCTTATTTAACAGTAATTAATAACTATAGATAAATGTGTGGCCTATACACAGGCTACACATTTAAAGCTGGAGATCTTAGTGTTATAGAGATCACATTGATTTCCACTGGTAACGCTCTAGGTTGGAGATGTGTCTGCATCTGTAATGAGATCTGCAACACACATCATCCCTGCAACTTCTAATCTGACCCATAAACACGCTGTCATGTAGCCTGTGGAGAAGATTTCTCCATCTTTGTGATGTTCTTACGGGTACAGGGACAAACCAATAGCATTCATGCATGCACAAGATTGCAGTGTGGTTCATTTTTAGAGTTATGCAATCACCATTCTTATGGTGGCAAATTAACATACATCAGGCAGCTGTAGGCACACAATCGAATGCTGTACTACACGAATAGTTCCTAAAGTCACCAAGTCATCTCCACGTCCACTTCCATCAGTCACTGGAGACAAGAAGAAGAAAAGTTCCCGGCTGCTCAAAGACAAATAGCAGCTAAGTGAAAGTAAACTTTATTGCCATGTACACAGTGTACACACAGTGCAAATAACAAAACATGCTCAGATGCCAAGATTTACAAATACGAATGCAAAATAAATATGTAATCCATAAACCAACTGGAAAATATAAAATATGCAAAACATTTATGCAACATATAAATTACATTAGAAAAAGTGCAATAAAGAAGAAACAGCTGATTAAGCTGACTATAATGCCTTGACTTTAGAGATATGACCACGACAGGTGTCAGGTGCGTTCTTCAAGGTCAGTATAAGACTGCCAGTCTGTCGTTTGGATATAGTGTCTGTGCATTAGTGAGTGTTTCTATCAGTCGGTTATTGGAGGGGTGTGGCAGTAAGGAGGATTCTGGTAGGCAGCCTGGTGTTGAGAAGCCTTTCGGCCTTGGGATAAAAGCTGTTGCATAGCCACTTGTTAACTTTAGCCTTCTCAGGAAGTGTAGTTTCTGCAGCAATTTCTTTTGTTGAGGAGATGGTGTTGTTTGTGTGAGACGTCTTCAGTTATATGGACACAGACGAACTTGATCCTCCAACAATCTCAGTTTATGATGAGTGGGTCAGGTCTTCCTGAAATCCAACATTAGCTCTTTAGTTGTGTTATGTCTGTGAAGTTTCTCAGTCACCTTGGCTCAGGCGATTAGAGGATCATCAGGGGGTCCTTTTGTCCCTCTGTGGGGGGATACTCCCACTAGGTTTATATCTGGGACTCTCCACCATTTCCACCAAGTCCAGACGCCTTTCTTTGCAAGCTCCTTTGACCTTTAGTTGTGTTGACGTTGAGAGATTGTTGTCTGTGCACCAGTTTGACAGCTACTGGCTCATCGGCATCTGCGGAATCATCGTTGTTGCTTATCAGTGCTAACGCAGTCGTGTTAGCAACAAACATGATAATGTGGTTGGTGTTATGTGTTGCTGTGCAGTTGTGAGTCAGCTGAGTGAAGAGCAGAGGAATGGGTACACAGCTCAGTGTGATGATGTTAGAGGTGTTGCAACTCATCTGTACTGCCTTTTTTGTGAATGGCAGTCAATGTGACAGAATCATGGCATTCTGTGTGTTGATCACATAAATAACATGTGTACTTTACAAGCCACAGCTGATATTTTGGTGTATCCGTGCAAGCTTAATTTAGTCAGGGCCACCGTAGTCAGAGGTGATTATCAGAGAGCCGTAAAACCCACTATTCTATGTCCACAGTGGGAAAGCAAAACGGTGAAGTAGTGAGCACAGAACAGAGCAGGCATCATGAAAGGAGGAGCTACGTTTGAGGTGGGTTGCAAAGTGGCTTACGGTTATAGTCTGCGCTTTTGGTTATTATTATGCAAACTGTGTTGTCATCATAGTTTACACAACTTGAGGCAAGCTTGACTTGCTGCTCTCTTCTCCTGTAAAAGATTTAAAAAGCTTGCTGAAAAGTTTTCTCTAACTATTGCAGCTCTCTTGCTCCACTTCTGCAGTGAGTCATCGTAGAAACACCTGTAGGATCCAACCTGTTCAGTCTCAACAGTTTAGCGGTTCGCAACCAACCAAAATGATAACAAAACACACCATCCGCCAGCACTCACAGTATCACTTTTGACACTCGCCACATGCATGAGGGCAGTAGCAGTGAGCATAGACTGGCTGGAATCCAGCTCAACTGGCATAAACTATACAATTTATCAATTACACGTGTTTTATGGTCGCATGTCTCTGAGAGCTGCCTACTCTCAGGAAGGGATGTGCTGTGCATCTAAGAAGATACATACTACAGTGTGTTACACAGATACCACACATGCACAGAGATGCTCATTATTAAAGGCCCGAAGGAAAACCTGTTTGGAATCAGTGTCTGTGATTTTAGGCAGTAATAATATTGTGTCTATCCTCAGTTCACTTTGTTTCACCATGACATCATTTCACCAATGAGACAGTTTTTTGTTATGTGAAAGTACTGAATTGAAACAGATTCACATCCATCTCTGTTCTAAGGGACAGAAGCTAAAGTGAGCCCAAATATCTTGTTTCTCTGTGAGCGCTTCCTCATCGGTGGTCAGGCTCTGGCTGGCATCTCTCCAACGCTTGACTTATTTTCTGTGTTTGAGTTGGACTGACTATACTTGGATGTTTGTAGAGTAACTCGGTAACACACAATCTGGCCTTCACTGTTATAATTTGAGCACTTTAGTTTTTGGGTATCGGTTGTTAGTACACATGATAGCTGATAGGCATGGGAAGTAAGGACAGTATTTACCAGCTGATATTTACTTGAAAGTACAGTGAAAATGATTACAGCATTTTTTTTAATGCTCAGTTAGTTAGACTGACCTGTCGGGCTCATCTGTTGCAGGCGCAGGGCTGAGCGGCCGTCAGATGCACCGTACGCAGGGCGTGTTCAACCACACGGAGGACTACGTGCTGCTGCCCGACGAGCGCACCATCAGCCTCTGCTGCTGGGACTCCCGCACAGCCGAGAGGAAAAACCTGCTGTCTCTGGGTCACAATAACATTGTCCGCTGCATCGTCCACTCACCAACCAACCCGGGCTTCATGACCTGCAGTGATGACTTCAGGGCCCGTTTCTGGTACCGCCGCACAACCACAGACTGAGCCACAAGAGGATGTCTGACTCTTGTGAAGCCTTCCCTGACCTCAGCAAACACTCGCAGTCTTCTTCAATCATTTTCAGTTCAATGGAAAGAGGACAGTGGAATCAGAGAGACAGTACTTAGGAGGAAAAATCAGTCATGTGGTTTTCTTTTTTATGACCTATTAAAGAGTTTAGAAACTTCAGTGGTAACACTCTCCTCACATTTCTTAGATATCATTCTGCAGGTTTGATTAGTTTTCCACTTTTATATTTTGTGTATGTCCTTATGTTGTAATTCTGATTTTTAATAAACAATCCAAAGGAAAAATGTCTGTTCTATGAATTTGATGGCGTAAAGTCCCCCTCAGAGCTTATAACACAGTCTCAGTGATATCCTGTCGATATTTTAAGGACACAGTTGTTGCCACAAAAAGTGAGCAGCAACCTGTCAGGAGCACCAAATGGACACAACACGCAAACAGCCAGAGCCATTTCGCACTTTCTGTCACAGTTAAGCTTAAGAGATCCCTCCAAACTTTCTTGGTCTTATCTTCAAAAACAGGAAAGAGGGAAAAAAGAAGCAAACTTCTCAAAGCTCCTGGTTTCCCTTCTCTGGTGTGGCCTTTGACCTCTGCCTGGAAGGTCAGGCTGCCCCATCGCCCCTCTGCATTCCCTAGCTCTCCCCGACCCCGCCGTATGTCATTCAGACAACAATAAGGAAAGTCCCAAGAATTTGTGCTTTCAACAGCCACTACCCCCGTTTTCTTGGCTAACCCAACCAAACCAATCAGTCACAAATATAGAGAAATGTTCCATATTTAAACATAAAGAGGAAACGCAATAAAAGGCAATGAGAAAAATTCCCTCAGTTAGTTGGAAGGGCAGACTAGTGGTGAGCAGGGTACTTCTGCTTTACAAGAAAAATTGAGGGTAAAGGAAGTGCGGAGTGCCATGAAGATGGGTTAAAACATAAAGAAAAGCAGTGGGTGGGGCACAAGTTTGTGTGAGTGTGTGCAGGAGTGTCTCTCTGACCAATGGGGCTGCGGGAAAGCAGCTGAGTTTCTCCGCCCTGTGTAAAACAGCCGGGCTCGCCGTGACAGCTCAGACAATATGCTTGTGAGGCACGGAGGAAGAGGACAGCACGCAGACTTTCCACACACACGCGCTTCACTGAAACTGCGACCCTCGGCAGACGGATTTATTTCTCTGTGTGGATGCAGCTACTTCCTTAACGATCATGGTGAGTGCTGCAGCTGCTTCTGCGCTTCAACAGTTACTCAGCTTTTACTTTGTAATGCAGCATCCACCCTGTTGTGTCCTGCCGTCAGAGGAATGTGCCTGTAGACCACCTGCTCGGCTTTCGCTTTAAGCCGCGGTGTCGGCTACCACCTATTTCTACACACACCCCTGTGACCTGCTCTACTGTAGGCTGTAACCTGAGTCCATCCTGACGCAGCTGAGAGGGAAACTCTAAGAGCCTCATTAACACAAAAGCCTTTAGAAGTTGCTCAGCCGCAGATAACTGAGGATGTGAAGCTGGATATTTTCAGAATGATAAAACCAACAGACACAAGCTCTTAATATTCAAACTATCATCTGATCACCGAAACTTTACGCACTGTGGAAAATCAACTTTCGTGGCTTGATTGCATTGCAACCTCAGCTCACTCATCAACTACGTGTTACAAAAATAGTTGCTGCAGCAACTAATGCAGTGGTTTCTAAATATGTTTGTGATTTTCAAGCCCAAACACTATGATTGTTTCGAATAGGGCTGCTGCAGCTTCAGAACTTAATGATTATCCTCATTTTAAAGAAAATCCCTATAATATTATCCTAATATCGATAGCAAATTACAGAAAATAAGTGTTAGTCAAGTTGTTTATTTGTTTGTTGTCTTTTTTGGAAACTGATTAAACTCCAAATACAAGTGAATGATGAGTCAGTCACCAGAACTGTCATACGCACAAAAAGAACAATTACACAATCATTTATTATTGTAACAGCTCAGGTTGAGCAATTTGGAGGCAAAGTTAGAGGAAAGGCTGAGATGGGTGAGGATGGAGCGGTCAGGCAGGAGGAAGACCACAGAGGAGGTTCACAATGTAGTGAAGGAGGGATGCTGGGATAGGGTGAGAGGGATGCGGACGATCTCCTGAGAGGATCACATGTGCATTATGACACAGTGTCCTCCATTATCATTTTATTGGAGCCTTTATTTTGTGTGCCTTTATTGTGAAAGGCAGTCACTGTGACATTTGGGAATATGCTGAAAAAGTCTACAGAAATCAAACTTGGTGGAGGGCTTATGCACACTTTAATACTGTAATATCTTTTCTGACGCACACCCGTTTTCACACCTTGGCTCATGTGATTAGGTAGAGGATCAATAGGGGGTCAGTGACCCTCTTGGGGACACGCCCATAGGGCTTAAAATCTGGGGCTCTCCACCAATCGCTCTTAGAACTGAAGAAGCTTCTCGAATGAGAGGTGAAACGTCTTCAAGGAAACTTAAAGAAGTCCAGACGCTTTTCAAGCTCCTTAGACTACGATGAGCTGGATGACTGAGAACCTTCACAGTCATTAATATAGGCCACACCAGTTGGGTAATGAATCCTACCATTTCCCACCGTGTCACGGTTGTCACTGTGTATTTTCACCATTCTGCCTCCAGAAACGAGTGTTTGTTGAAGCACTCTGAGAGTCGCGGATCAGGGGAGCACTGCGGCCAACAGCAGATGTGGAAAGCATTAAAGTGAGCTGAGAATTCTGCTCCAGTTGCTGTGTTGGACAGTTCTCAGGCCAGTCAGTGTGTAAGGGCGGGTGGTAGAAAAAGTTTAAAAACCTCTATATGATGAATGAAACAGCAGAGCGCAATCTTCCCAAACCCTGTCTGGAGTTACCAGTGGTGGGAAAGGATATGCATCACTCTGACAATCCCCAAGCGAAGCAACCAGTTTGACTGTGCTCATCTTATTCATTTTCCCTTTAAAAATACTGTCTGGTTTGGCTGATGACTAACTCTGTTTAAGCAATCGAACCTTACATGAAGGTTGTTTTATACCCGATCCCTGCCTTCATCAGGATGCAGAAAGCTATTTTGGGCCGCCTAGTGTGTTGCTTAGTGTCTGTTTTTATCATCTGAGAGCAGTAGTCAGTGCACAGTCACAGAGGTTTACACAGCAGGAGGCTGGTGTGGAGAAGTGGCAACAACATCACCCACAAAAGGAAGCTGATCTAAGTTTCTTGAGCTAATTTAACTCCTGTGATCTTCAGTCATGCGTTTAACTCCTGAGGACTTTTGAGGAAATCATTAATAAAGTAGGTAACTGGATCCTCCTCAAACAGACTACAGTACTTACTAATTACTACAGTAATGATAAATGAGTGGATCCAGCTCATTTAGTGGGAGGTGTATCTGAAAACCATAGCTAACAGATCAAGTTGTTCAAGTTTGTAATAGCAAAAAGGTAGTTGTGAAACAAAAAGCAAAAAAACGAACCCATCAGCTACAAACACGAGGAGAGTGCTCACGCTCGCCCATTCCTTACATGCCTTTTTTTTTCACATGTGAGGGAATTTTATTGTGTCTTCCAGCTTATTGCTTTGGTTTCTACTCCCATCAGTGAGGAGCAATAAATAAAAGCTTCACTGAGCCCACAGTGTGTTACTGTATGAGCTAAAGAGTTAGATGTGTTTATGAAGTCGTTTGAGGCCAAATTAAGTTTCTCTCACAGCTTGCTGAGCTCCCCCAAGTGACCCAAAAACAGCTTATGCCACTACTAAAGAGATATTATAGTAGCCAATGCAACAGCCCTACCTAGATGAACATACTGTAAATTGAAATGTTAAAAAATAATTTAAAAATTTCCGAAATGAAGTGAAAAACAAAAGAATGTGAAGAAAAAGACGCTAAAGCAGACGCTCACATATCAGATGTATTAGTGTTGGGCTGTACTTTCATGTAATGGAAATTTATACTACAAGAGCGTAACTGAAGCATCCTAAGTCGGACAACAAATAGTTGTTTATATAGAGCCTGACTGATAGAGAATATTCAAGGCCAATACCAATATTTGGTGATTTCAATATTCAGATATACTGGCCTACATTTCATTTATCTTTAAGACACAGAGAGTATAAATGTCTGCTGTCATAAATGTCAGCAGATCAGCCAACATCTAATATCAGCCTGCCGATAAAACAGCAATTTCATTTTTTAAATCAGACCTTTGAGTTTCTCTTCAAAAGTTTGTTTTGGCTTTTTGAAACATTATCATCTAATACAGGGGTCTCCAACCCCCGGACCAAGGACCAGTACCGGTCCGTTAGTGGTTTGGTACCATACTGGGTTGAGGCTTGGGTGTGAAATTTATGGTTTTCAGGGTTTTTATCGGTTTTTATCGTTTTTATCGTTAACTCGGTTTCCCTGGGTCTTTTCACGTGTGTTATGAATACATCTTCTTTTTTTGTACCGGTACTGGTTTTATGTTGTTGTATTTATTTATCTGCAACACCTTAAAGGCCGGTCCGTGAAAATATTGTCAGACATAAACCGGTCCGTAGCACAAAAAAGGTCGGGGACCGCTGTTCTAATGAACTGAATATAATGTTAATTTCATAGAACACGCAGGTCTCATGAACTCAAGATTGTATAACCTTTGAGGTAAGTATGTCAGTAGCATAGTGAGCGCCCCCCACATGCTCCCTAAACCCTGTGGCTTCTGTGGCATAAAGCTCATGTTAAAGATATATTCTGTCATTTAAGTCCCCCGGTGGGGATTTTTGTAAATAAACCGAGCTATGTTTACTTCTCAGTGGCCATACTTGAGCTCATTCTTGATTTAGGAAACAATATTTTAGTTCCTCAGTTATCAGTGAAGTTACATATGAAGTTTACTACATTTCTGCAAATTTCACCACCAAAGCACATTTAAGTAATCCCTCTGTTTGCATGCACGTCTTTCCCTTTTCGTACTCGAGTGCAAAAAGTAAAGAAAACATGTCGATAACATGAAATGTGAATGTTTGACAACCAAGGGCTACTGCAAAAATGAGCTGATACGGTCGCCTTGCTCTTCACTACTGCAACTGTACTAACGCATCAAAATGATCCCAAAGAAAAAAATATGTTCTGCAATCCCGTAGTGAATATCTGTAGTGAGAGAAAATGCAGAAGATGAGCATGAGGAAGTGTGACTATAAATAAAACCAGAGTGCAAGCAATGAGATAAGTTCCTGTCAGGGAAACAGTGGGCCTGCAGCCCGAGTGTTATCTGTAGAAATACTCCTCACTTTGACCAGCCTGTCAACCACTGTTCATGCTACACCTCTGCAGATGAAAGATGCTGTAGTGCATTTGTAAACGCTATACAAATACAGGCCATTTACCATTTATCATTTGTAGTCTGTATCACAGGCGCGCCCTCGCTGATTTTGAGCACAGCCCCACTTTTAGCGTTTTGGTCATTTTAACACTTTGGTTTTTCAGATCCACAAGTGGTTTAGACATGAACTGCTAAGTTATCAGGTCTTTAACTTTAAGCTTTCTAATTAGAACGTTTGGTTTGCAAGGTACATCTAAAAACTGTGTCTTTAGACACAGATCGGGAAAAGCTGTTTGGTCACAAGTAAGGAAGGCGCTGCTGGAGAAGCATGATATTCTTGATAACTTTGAATCACGTTTTAGGAAGTTGCACTCCACAGAAACGGCTCTCCTTAAAGTCACAAATGACCTTTCGATGGCCGCAGATAGCGGTGACTGCTCAGTCCTTGTTCTATTGTCCATATGAGGCTTACTGTATGTACAGCATGTTCTTGTGTAGACCGTAGCTCAGCCTTTGATACTGGGTTTCCAGATCTGTCGTGAAATGGTTCATTTCAATTCTGGCGAATAGAACACTTTTGGTGTCAGTGGAAACCTTTTGGCCAGATGTAGCTGAATTTTCATGCAGTGTTCTGCAAGGATATGTTTAAGCCCCTTGTTATTCTCATTACATATCCTGCCATTAGGCCTTATTATTATTAGTTTTAAAATCATTTCCTATCATTTGCATGCAGATGATATCCAATTGCACCTCGCTTTTAAACCTTGTAAACTGGATAAACTATCTGTTCTAATGGACTGACAAACAGTTTTCTGCAGCTTAACACAGACAAGACTGAGTGTTGCTGCAGAGAGCATCAAGCCCCAAATTAGACAACGTCTGGGTTCTTACTCGTCCACAAACAACAAATACA